CTCCCAGAATTCCCCATGCTCAAAGATCACCAAGGACCCCACAGTTCTCTTCCTCCTCTTTCTCCTCCTCTACTCTGCAAACCTCCCTCCCTTCTAGCATTGAAGATATTACCTAGTTGGGTAATGAAACATCTGCACGAAAACCACCAAGCTCAGAGAGCACCAAGGATCCCACAGCCCTCTTCTTCCTCCTCCTCCTCCTCCCTTCTAGCACTGAAGAAGTTCCCTAGTTGGATCATGAAAATCACTAAGATCAGGGAGCACCAACGACCCCACAAACATTCAAATACTTGTACAAATACTCCAACTTGCTCTGAGATACAATCGTCTTCTCTGCCGGTAAAAATGCTATATTTGGAATTTATTTTATTTATCTGTGTGTGTGTTTGTTAACATTTTTTATAATTTATTATTTACTATTTACAATTTATTTGCCACCCATCTTGTATCCAACGACTCTGGGCAGCTTACAGTATAAAACATTAAAGAAGACAAGACATTAAATTCAACAGCCATGGCACACAGCAGATAAAATCATTCACAATTACAAAGCATGACCTTTTGACAGGACCATGCAGCAAAGCCCCTGGGATATCCCCCACTTTCCTATGGAACCCACTTGAGTCCATCAAACGGTGGAGGTGAAGCCCTCCTGGTCATCTAGGACAACTCATGGACACCAACCCACCACAGCCATCTCGCCACATCCTGCCACAGCCAACAATTCCACACAGGATAATACCACATGATAAATGTTACCCACCATTGTTTCTTCGGCATTATTTTTATTGACAGAAATAGAAATAATGTTGAAGAAACAGTGGCGGATGACATTTATCGCACTGAATTTATCCCACGTGGATTGTCCCGTGGCGAGTTGACTGCAGTGAGACAGGGGCTGCATAAGAGAATCTCAGGGGAACCAGGCACGGTCTGATCACGACAAAGGAATAATGTTAGATTAGCCCACCAGTTCAGGTTCCGACAAGAAAATCATGTCTGGGACTTCCGGGTTGGCTCCGCAGCGCCATTGACGGTCTTTTTAGACCGCCGCCCCCGTGATCCCGTTGAGCCGTTCTGACAGCGCTAATCAGCTGTCAAACGGCTTGAAAATCTCCCCTTCGGGAAAAGAAGGGGAGGAGAGCAGGTGGGTGAGGGTAGAGCTCCCCGAAAACCCCTGGATTAATTCCAGGGGTTAGGAGGGTGAGAGCTCCCCGTTCAGCCCACTGAAGCTCCGGATCCGGGGGGACTCTGTTTTTTTTTTACAGAGCTAGGCGTTGCGTCCAATTTCTGCTGTCAAACAGAAGATTAAATGATTTCAGAAAAAAGCAGGCGGAACAGAAGCAGGAGGACAAGCTTTTTGCAAGTATAATACTTAACTCCGGGGATACAATGTTTCTAATTGGATTTTCTGAGCTGGAAGTAAAGATGGCGTTTCTTTGTTGTTAAGATGGTTGTTTCTTTGTTGTTGTTTGTTGTTCTTAAAAGTGAAAGCTAGAAAGGAAAGTCTTCGCTAATAGACTCGTGCTCAGAGACTGGCTTTAAGTTGCTGGAATAGATTTTGAAGAGCTGTTTGGGAAAAGATTATTTCGTTTGGTGATTTATAAAGAAATTGCTGAAAGCTGCTTAAAAGGATGGCTCTGACTTTATGATTTTATGGTTGTGGGAAGAAAGGAAATCTTTTTTAAAAATAAAATGGCTTCTAAGAAAGGAGATCCTGAAAGTGCTGGAAGCTATTTGGAGGTGTCAGAAATGGAACAGTTGTCTGATTTACAGAGCTATAAGGATTTTGATGCAGAATTTACAGAATTTATAAAAGAAGCCATGAATAATCATACTGCAGCTATAAGTAATCAAATAGCAATTCTTAAAGGGATAACAACAGAAATGACTGAGGAGACAAAAACTAGTATGGAGCATGATGGCAATTCAGGAGATATTCTGATTGCAGCAGAGAAGGTGGAAGAATCTTCTCAAGAATTTTCGAGCTTATTCTCTGCTCTTTTTGAAAAAATTGATAGAATCTTTCAAAATTACGACTTGGTTTGGAAAAAAGCAGTAAATGACCAGACTTTCGAAGTTTCAGAAGATGAAGGAGATTTGCCAGTGGCATTTATACATTTAATAGAAAAGAAACAACTGAACTTTTTTTCACAAACTCTTGACAAACTTTGGTCCTACAGACGAAGGAATGAACTGATTTATATAAGCAAGAAGAGGCGATTTGGGGGCTCTAAATCAGAGGAAATTTTCTTAAAAAGGGGACAATCTTTGCAGTTACATCAACCTCAAATCAAAATGGAAAACCTCCTCAAAATAGAAGTAGGAGGGATGCATAAAGACTGGAAAAAATATAAAAAGAAAGCAAGAATGGAAGATTAACCTTTTCTTTTGGCTTTGCAGTTGTTCTACTCATGGTTAAAAATGATTATGTTTTAGGTGTTATAACTACTGAGGGGGGAAAAGCATAAAGTTAAATATTGATTTTAAATATGATGCATTAATGGTTGAATGTAAGATTAACCCTTTTTGGTTTTCTAGTTTATGTATTAATGGTTAATTATGTTGATGATTATCTTTTAAAATTCTAAAAGTTGGAGGGAGGAATAATGAAGGGGGAAAATTTAGGAACAAAATGTAGAAATTTAACTACTGAATAGCTAAGGTTTATTTTTGGTTATGAGATTTTAAAATATCTGAACTTTGAGAAAAGCAGGAGGGGGAAAAATGTTTTAGCAAATGAATTGAATACTTTACTGATATATTAAGAGAATTTTTAAGGTTTGAATGTTTAATATTTGTTAATGGCTTTAAAACTCTTAGAGTTGTTCTATTCATGGTTAAAAATGATTATGTTTTAGGTGTTATAACTACTGAGGGGGAAAACGCATAAAGTTAAATATTGATTTTTAAATATGATGCATTAATGGTTGAATGTAAGATTAATCCTTTTTGGTTTTCTAGTTTATGTATTAATGGTTAATTATGTTGATGATTATCTTTTAAAATTCTAAAAGTTGGAAAGGAATAATGAAGGGGGAAAATTTAGGAACTTAAAAAAAATGTAGAAATTTAACTACTGAATAGCTAAGGTTTATTTTTTGTTATGAGATTTTAAAATATCTGAACTTTGAGAAAAGTAGGAGGGGGGAAAATGTTTTTGCAAATGAATTGAATACTTTACTGATATATTAAGAGAATTTTTAAGGTTTGAATGTTTAATATTTGTTAATGGTTTTAAAACTCTTAAGAGTTATTGGATTATACGCTACTTTGAGTTTATAAAAAGGGAGGTTGATGAAATTGTAAAAGGGGAGTTAAGGGGTCTTGGGATTTATTAAATCTTGTAGTTAGCTAGTTTATTTTAGCGAATGTTTGGTGAAACCTATGCCCTGTTTTCTGTTCTGGGAAGTCGGGGGTGGAGGGGGTGAGGAGGGGTTGAAGATTGAGTTTACCAAGGATTGATTTTTTTTTCTTTTTCTTGATGATAGTTTGAATGATTGTTTATATTGTATACTTGTTTGATCAGAAAATAAAAACTTTTTTATTAAAAAAAAAAAGAAAATCATGTCTGGGTGTGACCACTGTCCTGAGTCAGGCCCAAGATGATTGACTCAATAGGGTTGCCAGGTGTCCACTATTTGAGCCGACAGTCCGCTTTTTTCACATTATGTTCACTATTTCTTTTTCACAAAATAGTGGACATTTTTTTTATTCAAAAGCTTTATGATGAAATGGTACGTAATCTAAAGCTGTACAGTCTAAGAGAATAAGGATAGGAGAATCACGTTTTGTCTTTTTTTTCATAAGTTAGAATGAGACAAAGATCGAATGCTTATTGCAATAATCACATTTTACACAACAGCGCAAAAAATGCATTAAAGCAGTTATCTTTTGATATCGAAAATGTAGTGCTGAAGGTTTTTGCCGAATTTTCGAATTCTGCGAAGAAACGAGAAGAGTTGAAATCATTTTTTGAGTTTTGCGAGTCAGAATTCCATGAAGTTTTGCGCCATGTTCCAACACGTTGGTTAAGTTTGTTTAAAGCAGTCGAAAGACTTCCTTTAAACTGGATACCTCTAAAATTGTATTTTATTTCTCTTGGATCTGATGAGTGCCGTAAGGTTATCTGGAACCTTATTTCAGATCAGGAAAATGAACTCGCAAAGGACGATGAACCAACAATTTCAGAATTGTATTTATATTTCACGCACTTCTTCATGTCAATAATGCAAGACACCCTATTGAAGCTGGAAAGCAAGAAAATTCTTGCATGTGATCTTCACATTATCATATGTAAGCTGCATGATTCTTTGCAAAAAAAATACGATGAGCAGTTCTTTGGAATGAAAGTTTTATTTGCCTTACGTAAAAAACATTTGCCTGAGAATGCCGTGCAAAAGTTCAAGAAAGAAGCCATCAACGTGTATCAAAGAGCCATTGCGTACCTAGGAAAGTGGTATAATTTCATCGATTCAGTATATGAGATGCTAAGTTGTTTCAATCTAATTGATCGCAATAATACTCCAACTTTAGAAGAAATGACGAACATCTGGTTATTATCACCATGGCGAGAAGAACTTCCACCCAACACACTCTTCGATGAAATTTCTGCCTTAGAAGAAGTTTATGTTCATCTGCAGGGCGATTCATCCCTTGATAAGTGGACGTACTTTTTCAAGAAAGAGCCAGCTCCGAGTTTACTGAAACTGTTCCAGTATTGTGCATCAATTCCGGTATCAAATGCAAACGTTGAACGGATTTTCAGCGTCATGGGAAATTTGTGGACTGACGAACGTAACCGACTGCTTGTACCATCAGTTCGAAGTGAACTTTGTATATTTTTTAATATTTCTCAAGGTTGTACTGAAATTAAAGAATTATTCCTTAAACACAAAGAATTGATCAAAGCTGCGCAGTCAAATAAAAAATACACACGACAGCAAAGTAAAATGTAATTTAATATTTTACATATTATTATAATATATTTGATGTTTTGAATTTTAAGTAAAGTTTTGAAGTGATTATTTTAATACGTGTTAAAATGTTTGTAAGAAAATATATAATTTAATTGTAATTTTTTTTTTTACTACTTAACAACCCCCCCCCCCCGCTTGTCCGCTATTTTTTGGAAGCAGACCTGGCAACCCGAATTGGGACAGGCCCAGGGCTGCCATGGAGGCCATGAACTCCTGGGCCTCTTCCGAGGCTGCACCCAGGGGTTCAAAGTCCCCCATAAGCCTGGGGAATTCCACTACCAGCCCTGAAATGGCCTCCAGCAGGTCAGGCAGGGTGGTAGCTACACAGCAGAGAGGCTGGTATACCAATCCCTCCCTTATCCTGGTTGCCGCCATGGATGGGGAGGAGTAGCCCTTTTCAAGACCAGAAAGGCAGACCAAGGAGATCAACAACTTGGTGGATTTGGTTTACGGTACTTAAATCAATATGGCTGCCTGTCTTAAAACGCAACAATGGGCAGCTCACCACAATGAATTCCACAATGATTTCCAGTTTTTAACTTTATCAGGAATTAAATGTTTGTCTCAGTTGTTACAAAAAACCCTGTGCGGGGCGGAGGGGGTTCGGGTTCCCCAGAGTTTCATTTTCTGGTTTACAGGAAATCCTCGAGTTAAAAACACACCTGGGACCAGAATTTATATTCCTAAGCAAGACAGTTGTTAAATGACTCGTGCCGAATTTTGCAACCTTTTCACCATGGTTGTTATGGGAACCACTTTGGTTATTAAGCGAATCGTTCAGTCGTTAAGTGAATCTGGCTTCCCCCATTGCCTCCGCTTTGTAGGAAGGCTGCTGGGAAGGTCACAGATATGGCAGTCACGTGGCCCCAGGATGCTGCAACCGTCACAAATACATGCGAGTTGCCAAGTGCCCGAATTTCGATCGTGTGACCGTCGTAAGAGCAAAAACTCACTTTTTTTCAGTGGTGTTATAGCTTTGAATGGTCACTAGGTGGAGGGTTATAAATCGGAGATTATCTGTAATCAGACGCCCACTTTCGGTTACCCCAAACGCCGCATCTGTCCTTTCCTGTCCGAAGTGGTCAGTCCCAGCAGCATCTCATTGAATTCCCAGAGCTTCTCAGCCATCAGGTCATCACAGGCCGGTGGCGAGGGCACCTTTGGTTGGCAGTCCACAAAATACCGCCCGCTCAGCCTCTCTATTCCCTCCTCGGTGGCGCAGTAGATGATGGTCTGGGCACCAGTCTTCCCATCTCGGAGGAATGGTTTGATGGTCCGAAGCAGCCAAGCTACCCAACGCGGATGGGAGTGAGTAATTTTGGCTTGAACAAATCCTGAAAACAAAAGCCGTGAAAGAGCCTTGATGGTACAGTGGTCTACGCACCCTGTTATTAACACCAGCTGCCTGCAATTACTGCAGGTTCCAATCTCGCCAGGCTCAAGGTTGACTCAGCCTTCCATCCTTTCTAAGGTAGGTGAAATGAGGACCCAGTTTGTGGGGGCAATAAGCTGACTTTGTATAAAATATACAAAAGGATGAAGGCTATTGCTTAGCGCATTGTAAGCCGCCCTGAGTCTCCGGAGAAGGGCGGCATATAAAAATCAAATTAAAAAAAAAAGAAAAAAGTAGGGCGGGGAGGAAAGCTTGTCCAGATTTGGGGTGTGGGCTGGGGGGAAGATCCTATATGAATCCTTCGCACAGCACCTCTTTCTCCCCTCAGGAATCATGGGCCATTTGGGCAACACAGAGAACTTTTCAGAAGACCAAGAGCTGACGTTGAGTGCTAATGGGGCATATGTGATTGTGTTTGTATGTGTGTATATATGCGGGTATGTGTGAACTGCTTTGAACACATGAATCCATTGCAGTGGGGCGGCTAATACGTTCAAATAAATAACATTAAATAATAATGTTCTGATAGAATATTTGTAGCTCAGGATTGAAGTGTGGAAGTGTTGAAGTTTCATCACCCAACTATCTTACATGATCAGTGCTAGAAGGGAGTGGTGTTTGTGGGCAGGCGGAAGAGGAGGAAGGGGAGGAGAAGGGGGGAGGAAGAGAAAGAGAAGGAATAAAAGGTGAAGGAGGAGGGGGAATAAGAGGAGGAAGAGCAAAGGGAAGAGGAAGGATGGGAGGAACAGAAAAGGCGAAGGAGGAGTAAGAGACTGGGGAAAGCGTCATCCCTGCCTTAGGCAGGGGGTTGGACTAGAAGACCTCCAAGGACCCTTCCCACCCTAAGATTCTAGTATTCTGGACTTGGGAGGGTGGGAGACATCTCCCTCCCCAGATGAGCTCTGCAGAGGGGGTCGAGGGAGCCTCAGTGGGGGAGAAATGCCTGGTGGATCCTCAGGCCTTGGGGCTGGACTTCCACTCACCTGGATGAACCGCGTAGCAGGTGACGTTGGTTCTTTCCAGCCGGTTGGCCAACTCTCGCACATGAACAATGTTGGCTAGTTTGCTATTGGAGTACGATCTTACGGCCTGCCACATCCCTTCCACTGGCTTGTAGATGGTCCGAAAGTCGATCTTCCCAAAGAAATGCATATTCGAGGCCGCAATTACAACCCGGCTCGGGGCGCAGGGCTTCAGCCGGTCCAGAAGCAGGTGGGTCAGCAGGAAATGGGCCAAGTGGTTGACCTGGAAACTCTGGTTAAAGTCATCAATGGTTTGGCCCCCTTTAACGACCCCTGCCAGAAAAATAAGATTACATCTAGTCCTCGGCTTACGATGTGACATTTCGCGATGATTGGAGGTTACCACGGACGTAATAACCAAAAGATAATTACGACCAGGTTCTGAAGTTCCAGTGGCTCCCCCTTGTGGTCACATGATTGCATTTTGTGTGCTTGGGAACAGGCTTGCCCTTGGCAACGTGTCACATGACTGCAATTTATACTACTTTTGTTCAAAAAACCGGCGTTTACTTGAAATTTTCAGTAAAAACATCTGATAAAGTAAAATCGCATTGGTCACAGGAATAACTTGCTTTACCACAGGGGTGAAATCCAGCAGGTTCTGGAGAACCTGTAGCGGAAATTTTGAGTAGTTCGGAGAACTGGCAAATGCCACCTCTGGCTGGCCCCAGGAGTGGGGAGGGAATGGAGATTTTGCAATATACTTCCCCCAGAAGTGGGGACGGAATGGGGATTTTGCAGTATCCTTCCCCTGCCACATCCACCAAGCCACGCCCACCAAGCCACGCCCACAGAACCGGTAGAAAAAAAAATTGGATTTCACCACTGCTTTACCACCATCACAACCTATGACCATAATTGGCAGACTCCATCATGGTCATAAGTCAAGGACTACCTGTAAAACATATAGCTTAGTCTAATGGTGAAGGCAACAGGCTTTTAAAGACAGTTAAGAGAGTCTGGTCTAGCGGTTAAGCCCGGAAAACATGAGGCCATGAGTTCAAATCCCACCTTAGTCATGAAAGCCAGCTGAGTTACTTTGGGCCAATCACCAGGAAACAGTAAGTTCTAGTCCCGCCTTAGGCATGAAAGCCGGCTCTCATCCCAACCCACCTCACAGGGTTGTTGTTTGCAAAAAATAGGAGGAGAAAGTTGTGTTGGCTCTGTTCACTTCCCTATTTGTAAAAATAATAGTAAAGGCAGTATACGAAAAAACAAACTACCACAAATGGGAGAGAGCGGCTTCTCAAGTTATGGCCAAATCCCCAAAGGAAGAGAAATCCCGGAGATGACATAATATTCTCCCCTTCCTAACCCGGAGACCCTGGGGAGGGTCTGCTCTGCCCCCACCTGCGTTGTTGATGAGGATGTCCAGACGGGGCTCCGACTTTAAGAAGCTCTGCACAAAAGCTCGCACGGAGTTCAGGTTGCCCAGATCCAGGATCATCAGGATCACCTCCGAGTTCCCACTTTCCTGGAAAAGGAAAAGAGCAGAAGGAATCCTGATCCTCGGGATCCAGTGCGGCTTCCAAGGCTGATCCCGGTTTATTCACCTTCTACGTAGGTCTGCTCGCCTCCCGGCAATCTCTCTGGGCGATGCATAATAAAACAATACAGGCAGTCCTTGACTTATAACCACTCATACTTTTGACCCTCGCAACATCCCCAGGGTCATGTGACCAAAATTTGGGCGTTTGGCAACCAGCAATATTTCCGATGATGGCAGGGTCCTGGGGTCATGTGATCACTATTTGTGATTGTCCCAAGAGGATTCAGACAAGCAAGGTCAATGGGGGAGAACTGGATTCACTTAACCACCATGTGATTCGCTTAACAACTGTAGTGATTTGCCTAACAACCATGGCAAAATATTGGGTCTGGCTGACTTAACAACTGTCATGGCTGCCTTTGCTCCATCCCTAGGAAAGAAAAACCCTCAATTCCATAGAATTAGAGAAAAAGGTACTTTTGCTAAGAAAGAACTGAATACAGCTAACTCAGGCAAGATCTGAAGCAAAAATGCGCAAAGCACCAAATTGAAACTAACTCTAGAGCCCACCCCCACCTCCTCAGTAGGCAGGCAAGCAGAGTTCAATCATTGGCCAAGAAGATGTTTTGGGAAATTCTTTAGTTCAGATGCACTGTGTTGTGGTCTGCCAACAGCCTGTGGAGCTGGCGGCGGAGTCGGACAGCGAGGAGGCTGGGGAGGAACATGGGCCAGTCCTGGAGTCTGGGGAAGGCTCGGATGAGGGCTCTGCGTCGGAGTCAGAGATGGGGCCAGGGCCATCGGGGAGTGATGTGCGGACTCCGGAGCCTCCAGAGGCTGACAGCAGAGAGGCAGAGGAACAGGAGGAGCCTGTTCCTAGCGCACGCATGAGAAGAGCTGCCAGAAGGCAAGAGCAGCTACAGCAAAGAGGACGACTCAGGAGTAAGGCCAAGAGATGATTGGCTTCTCCCATAAGGCTTAAAAAACCAGCAACGGCTCTTGGGCTCTTTGTCAGAAAACAACATTGATAGATTTGTTTCTTGTCTTGCTGCATTTATTTCTTGTCGGCTTCTTCTGCTCCTGAACTTTTGCCAAGAAAAGCCTTTGGCAGGTTGCCAAAATAGACCAAGGTTGATGATAAGGCTGAAGAATTGTGTTATGAAGAATTTGTTTTGAATTAGTTTGGACTACGCTGAGAATGAGCTAATTCTCAGCTGTTCTAATAAAGTCTGTTTGTTTAGAACTGTTTACGTCTCATAAAACCTTCTTGGGCCTCGGTCACAACACACTGTTCCTTCCTTCTGCATACTGAAGCAAGGAGAGTCGGCCTTGAAGGTGGTAAACAAAACCCAAAGTCCCATCGCTTCTCGAAAATTTCCACTTTTAGCTCCTGTCCTGCACCCTCCACCCATCAAGTGCCCATTGCTCCCCCTCCCACCGTCTCCATAGCAGCTGGAAAGAGAGCGAAGATGCACACTGACAACAATTGTGTCGGGATGTACCACCAGGAAAACACCTGAATATCAGAAGAACGGAGGGACGGAGAGAACCGCACGGCAGGCGCTTACCCGTCTGATGTCGTACACGGCCGATTCTCCTCTCGCTTTGTTGCGGCATGCCAGGATGACACGGGCGCCTCTCCGGGCCAGATCCACCGCAGTGGCCTTCCCGATCCCAGTATTTCCACCTAGGAAAGGGAAGAGAAAGAATTCACTGAGATCGCCCAACCTTTGATGGGGATCCAGAAGCCGGGCCTTCATCTGTGTGCCTGCAGTTCTTATGGTGTTGCAGAGTGAAGCATGTCTTCCTCAACCTTGGCAACTCCCAGAATTAAAGTTAAGCAACATCTTAGAATTGCACAGGTTGAGAAATCCTGGCACATGATTTACACAATCTTTTAAAATAAGTCTTACATCAACAAAGAACAATGGTTTAAAATTAGACATAATACAAGTGGTTTTTGACTTACAAACATTCATTTATTGACCGTTCAAAATTACAAAGGCACTAAACAAGTTTTATCACCGTTTTTCACGTTTATGACTGTTGCAGCATCCACGTGGTCTTTGAAAGAGTCGCTTTGTACCGAGATGGGTGGCAAATAAATTTAATAATTAAAAAAAAGAAAGGCATTTCAGAAAAATGGGATGCAGTGCTTCTGTCAGACCAGAAGATGGCGCAGGTCTCCCACCACTGGCTCTGCAGGGTGTCACTTTACTAACACAAGTTACAAAGCAATCTGAAGGCCATTCGTTGCATTCATACAGGAATGAGAGTAGCTAACTAATCCTCGTTTCTGTCTGGTATGGTGCAGCCACCAAACAGGACAGGTACAGACTCCAATGGATACTTAGGACTGCAGAAATAAGGATTGAAACAAGCCGTTCATAGAAGACCTGCATACTATGGGGGTCAGAAGGAGGGCCGAGGAAATATCACATCCTGGACACAAACTGTTTCAACTCCTCCCCTCAAGATGGCGCCGGAGGGCATTGCATCCCAAAACAACTAGACACAGGGACAGTTTTTTCCCTCACGCCATCACTCTGCTGAACACCAACAGGATTGTACAGAAGTTTCAGGCAGTTGGGCAAAAATGCTGCAAATTAAGTATGCTTTCAGAAGTAGACGTGCTCATCATTTATTTTTCTCAATTAACAAAACATAAAGTAAATGAGAAATCCAAATCAAATCCGTATTTGGGGTATGGACCACCCTTTGCCTTGAAAACAGCATCAATTCTTACACTTGCAAACTTGCACAAAGTCAGGGATTTTGCAGGATTAGAATCCAGCAGACAATTAACCAATTCTACCAGGCAGGGGCTGATGATCATCAATTTCGTATGTAGGTTGAAACAAAGTCAGTAACTGAGACAGAAGGAGTGGTGTAGGAGGCTTCACACCGGGCGAGGAACAGGCCGGACTCTGCTACTAAGGTGAGGTTGTGGAAGCCATAAGTCACACCCCATGGCAAAACTGAGCACAGCGAGAAGACAAAAGGTACACTGCAATCAGCAAGGTCTCTCCCAGGCAAAGACTCAAAATCAGTGTAGAGTCGGATGAGACCTTGGAGGTCTTCTAGTCCAGCCCCCTGGTTCAAGCTGGAGACCCTATCCCCGTGATGGCGAACCTGTGGCACGTGTGCCACAGGTGGCACGCAGAGCTGTATCAGTGGGCACGCGAGCGCAGCTCTGGCATGCATACACGCGTCGGCCAGCTGATTTTCGGGCCTTTTGGGCCCACCGGAAGTCAGGAAAAAGGCTGTTTCCGGCCTCTGGAAGGGGGAGTGGGGAAGGCCATTTTTGCCCTCTCCAGCCTCCTAGAAAGGCTCTGGAGCCTGGGGAGAGCGAAAAAACCTTGCCATCGCATGCCAAAAGTGGGGGGAAGCGCAGGGGGGTTGCACACACATGCATGGGGGGCGGGGCGCATAGAATTATGGGTGTGGGCACGTGCACAAGCGACCCCCCCCCGCACTCCCCCCACTTTTGGCACGCAGTGGCAAAAAGGTTAGCCATCACTGCCCTATCCCATTTCAGACGAAAGGTTGTCCAATCTCTTCTTAAAAACCTCCAGTGTTGGTGCGCCCAACGATTTCTGAAGGCAACTTCTGCTCCATTGGTTAATTGTCCTCACTGTCAGGAAGTTTCTCCTTAATTCCTGGTCGCTTCTCTCTTTGGTTAGTTTCCAACCGTTGTTTCTTGTCCTGCCTTCAGGGTGCTTTGGAGAATAAATTGAACCCCCCAACTCTTCTTTGCGGCAGCCTCTCAAATACTACTGTAGAATACGGCTATCATGTCCCCCCTCCAGTCCTCCTTTTCTCTAGACTGGCCAAGCCCACTTCTTACAGCTGTTCTTCATATGTTTTAGTCTCCAGGCCTTTAATCATCTTAATTACTCTTCCCTACGCTTTTTCCAGAGTCTCAACATCTTTTTTTATAATGTGGTGACCAAAATTGGTTGCAATATTCCAGGTGTGGCCTTACCAAGGATTTATAAAGCAGCACTAACTCACCTGATCTTGTTTCTGAGTCTCTGTTTATATAACCTAGGACTGTATTCGCTTTTTTGGCTGCTGCCACAAACAGCTGGCTCATATTTAAGGGATTGTCCACTAGGACTCCAAGCTCCCTCTCTCCCAGTCACTGTTTTTGAGCCAGGTCACTCCTAAACTGTACTTATACCTTTGGTTTCTTCCTGCCTAAATGTAAAACTCCATATTAAATTTCATTTCATTTCAAAGATTGCAAAGCAGAACTGGGGTTTCAAGATTTGCTGTTCAAGCTCTTTTGAAGAAGCAGAAAGAAACAGGCAATGAGGAGAACCATAGACAGTCAGGCAAGGAAACTGAATGCAGAGATCATCATCACATCATGCCCACTAACCCTAACCCTAATCCTAACCCTAACCCTTCAACATCAGACAATGTCCAGCAGTGGCATCAGCACAGAACTGGAGGAAACCAGTAGGACCCAGGTACACCCATCTATTGTCTGGAGAAGTCTGGCCAGAAGTGGTGTCCAAGAAAGAATTGCAACCAGAAAAGCAATACCTTCGATGTGGAAACAAACAAAACAAAAGTGATTTAACTAGTGGACGATCCCTTAAACACGAGCCAGCCCTGTGCAGCAGCCACCAAAAAAGCCAATTCAATCCTTGGTTGTATAAAACAGGCATAGAATCAAAATCAGGTGAAGTATTAGTACCACTTTATAAAGCCCAAGTAAGGCCATACAGTTTTGGTCACCACATTACAAAAAAAGATGCTGAGACTTTGGAAAAAGTGCAACAAAGAGCAACTAAGATGATTAAAGGCTTGGAGAATAAAATATGTGAAGAACAGTTGCAGGATTTCGGTTTGGCTAGTCTAGAGAAAAGAAGAATTAGGGGGGACAGGATAGCAGGGTTCCAGTATTTGAGGGGCTGCCACAAAGGTGATCAACCTTTGTGGCAGACTGGATAGCTGGATAGCTCAGCAGACTAATGCATTGTAATTTAACTCCAGCTGTCTGCAATTAGTAAGTTCGAATCTCGCCAGGCTCAAGGTTGACTCAGCCTTCCATCCTTTCTAAGGTAGGTAAAATGAGGACCCAGATTGTGGGGGCAATAAGCTGACTTTGTATAAATATACAAAAGTATAAAGGCTATTGCTTAGCGTATTGTAAACCGCCCTGAGTCTTCGGAGAAGGGCGGCATATAAATCAAAATAAAACAAAACAAACAAACAAAAAACCTATTTTCCAAAGCCCCTGAGGGCAGGACAAGAAGCAACTGATGGAAACTAAGGAGAGAAGCAACCTTGAATTAAGGAGAAACTTCCTAACAGTGAGGAAAACAGGAGAACAGGCTTCCCACCAGAAGTTGTGGGTGCTTCATCACTAGAGGTTTTCAAGAAGAGATTGGACAACCTGGAAAGGTATCCGGTCTGCTGCTCCAGCAGGAGGGTTGGGCTAGAGGACCTCCCAGGTCCCTTCCAGCTCTGCTATTCCCTTCGTCCTTCCGAGGCTCCCCTGGCTGGTCCAAGCAGGGTCTCCGCCAGCCCAGCCCCCCCCCCCCCCGCTCTTCCGCACCCTCCGTCCTCCCTTCCTGGCCGGGGGTCCGGGGAAGCCCCAGGACGGCTGGCATCCGCGGAGCCTCCCGGGTCAGTTCTCAGCCGGTTCCTTCCCGAGGGGCTTTTTTGGCCGGACTTTCTCGGCCGCCTCTGAAGCGCCTTTCAGTCGGGGGCGAGCAGGACCTGCATGGGGCAGAATCTGCGCGGACAAACCTGGTTGAGTGTAGACTTTTGCGCTGCGCTTTTGCTCCGGGATTCTGATCCTGCGCGGAGCCATCGAAGTGGGAGGGGGGCTTATGGAAGGAAGGAAGGAAGGAAGGAAGGAAGGAAGGAAGGGAGGGAGGGAGGGAGGGAGGGAGGGAGGGAGGATGGATGCAATGCCCCCCAGGACCCCCCTTCCCCCCCAGCTGACCTGTGATGAGCACCGTCTTGCCCCTCAGGCTGACCGCGTTCCTGCACCGGGTGGCGACCCCCAAGTAGTAGTAGAGCAGCGCGTAGAGCCCCAGCAGCAGCGCCGTCCCCAACGCCTCCATGGCCCGAAGTCCGCTGGCCCCGCAGCCCCACACCGCTTCCCTTTTACCCTCCCCGCCCCCGCCTCGCCTCGCCTCCCGCCCCTCCCCGCGTGCATCCCGGGGGTTGCGTGACCGCGAGCCACAGCCACGCGCAATGCTCAGCCGGGGAGCGGCCGAATCCCCTTGGGCAGGGGGGCTTCCTGTGACCATGCCAGTTCTGCCATCTTCAGCTTGGTGCCTTGCCAGCATCCTGCCATCCAAAGCGAAGGGGGGAAAAATGGGCCATAAACCTGTATGGGGATGTGATGGGGAACTGGGAGGGTGGGGGAAGGACAGCTCCACGGGACCAGGGAGGCGTGCAACTGGGTTGTGCCAATGTCCAAGGCCAGGCATCAGTGGTGGTTCTGCTCGGTTCCGCCGAGCCGGTAGCGGTGACGATATGACGTCACCGAACCGGTTCTGCCCCCCTGCCTCCCTACCCCCCCCACGTTATTCTTACCTTTTATTTGGCCCCACCCCCAATCTATTGATGCCTCCTGAGTCCCAGCTGATGGGCTATAAGGAAAAAAAACTGTTTAAACTTGCTGCAAAGGGCCGCCCTACAGCTGATCAGTGGTAAGAAGCAGTTTGGTGGTAGACCGGTGCCTCCAAAAAACCAATGAGTAGACCGGTGCCTGCAAAAATACATGAGTAGATTGGTGCCTGCAAAAACAGATGGGTAGACCAGTGCCTGCAAAAAATAAATGGGTAGATTGGTACAGCTCTGCAAGCAGTTAAAAGCCTGAAGACAAAATTGTCAAGGGGGGAAGGGCTGGATGAGTGAATGAATGAATGAATGAATGAAAATATATATATATATATATATATATATATATATATATATATATATATGTATGTATGTATGTATGTATGTATGTATGTATGTATGTATGTATGTATGTATGAGATTTATATGCCGCCCTATCTCCAGCCGGACTCAGGGCGGCTCACAACAGTAAAAAAACATCTAATGAAAAAGTTTAAAATGAAATTAAATCCAAATCTCAAAATTGAAAAGTTAAAAGGGCAATTAAGACTAACAAATTAAAAATTAAAACCCCATCAGTCCAGAAAATTTGTAACCTTTTGTGTAGTAATCCTAGTTCTTAGCTTGATTATACTTGGGTAATTTAGCAAAGATGTTGTATGTGGGAGAAAGAGGATTGAGGCAGCTGGCTCCTCCCTTATAATTTGCAAATAATATGCATTTTGTAGATTATAATCTGTGTCAGATGGTTCTCTAGGTATTGAACAATCAAGAAATCTCCTGGGTGGAATCATTGTCTGTCATTCTTTGTTCTCCTTTGTTCTGATCATTCCTGATTCATCTCCGTGCCCTGCTCTAGATAGTCCTTGACCTACAACTTCTCATGGCTGACTTGTGATGCACCTCTACTCACAATTTGACAACAGAAACAAAGAGAGGGGGAGGGGAATGCTTGGGATGTATTGGGAGCTGGGAGGGAGGCGAGGAATTTACGTGTTTGCAGCCTGAGAAAATCCTGACGTTTCAAGGCCGAGTGATGGGAACCTTCCGGAGGCGCAGACTGCTTCCCCAAAATAAAAGGAACGTGTTGGATTGGTGGACAGTGGACCATGGGTGGCCCACATGGAGAATAGAGGAAATTAACTACAGGTAGTCCTCGAGTTACGAATGGAATCTGTGCTTTTATTGTATCACTATACAGGTAGTCCTCGACTTACGACAGTTCAAAGTTACAATGGCACTGATCCCTGTTTCCCCCCAGTTGATCACATGGTCCAATCAACCTCCGTCCCATCTCGAGACATCACTCCAACCACTCCTTCTCCAGATGCAGGATCGCCCTGACCTTGACCGACAGGAAGAATGCTATTATGTCTACTAACCCCCCTCTTCTACTTTCCCACACACGAGAAGGTGGCAGCATTGGAGCTTCCCGCCTAATATGGCTTCCAAAGCTGACACTGTCATGATCTAAGTTTCAAAAATGCAGATAGAAATATTCCCAATTATTATTCAATTCATTTTTTACAATCACATAATTTTCCATTATTTCTTACTATAATTCATATTTCAATTCTAAGTACGTATAGCATATTCCTCTTTCATTTATTTCTCCTTTTCTCCCTTTTCATTTTTATTTTTGCCTTTTTCTTTCCCCTTTTTTTCTTTTGAGCTTTAAAATCTTGAACTCTCCTATTTTGCCCTATATTTCCCAATGTTTCCCATCTCTTTTCTCTTTTTCTTATTTCCCCACTGCTTATCCCAGTGTAATCATTCTGTATTTCAAAGTCCTGGACTCTTCTATTTTGCCCTGTATTTCCTGTTGTTTTCCACCCTTTTTCTCTCTTTATTTTTTCACTGTTAATCCCAGTGAAATCATTTAAGTTTTTCGTATTCTTTCTATTCCATCCTTCTTTCCTTGTCTCTTCCCACCCTCTGTTTTTTCCATTGTTAATCCCAATGTAATCTCTAAAAGCCTCCTTTTTATTGTTACTATCTACATATTCAATTAATTTTCCATAATTAATCTCGTTGTCTTTATCTTCTTTATTTTTAATCTCTGTGTCTTGCTTCTCCATCTTTGTTTCCTTGTCAGCTTACGCATGCTCTATCTCAGTTTTTGGATCCTCAGGTTTCGATTCTCCATGTAACATTGTAATTATTTCCCTTATTTCCGTTTTCCATGACGAATACATCATTTTCATCATTTCTCTAATTTCCTGCACCATTTTATTCTTTCTGGGTTGGTATTATTCCAATTTTAAAAGTTTCATTGTATTCCCTTTTTTTCCCAAAGCCAAGCCGCTTACAGACAAAGAAATCCTCCTCAAAAGTTCTCACGGCTGTTATCACTAATAAAATTCAGAATTTTCCAAAACAAAAGTTCCAAACTGCAATGTTCTTTTCTCTCCTGAAGATGTCTCTCTACAATCCACAATTCCTATCAGTAGTCCCTGAGGTCTCCGGAGAAAGACGGCATATAAATTGAACTAATAAATAAAGTATCCATTTTGTTTCAATCCACATTAAGAGTCTTTACTAGCTTCTCTTTTCTTCTTTTTAACTTTGAAAATGCAAAATCAGTTTTATAATCCAGTCCTAATTAAACAATACTTTTCCCCTCTTTTTTTTTGTTTTGTTTATTCAGTACTTCTGTTATAGGGCTTATTTTCCAATTTCTCTTTTGTTTTTCTTAACATTCAAAAAAAGGATCTACTTATTTTCTTTCCAATCCTTTAGCCAATTTTGGGGTTATTTCTTCTAGTTTTTAAAGTTATCCAAATAATTATATTCAATAGTCGATTTCCTTTTCAGATTTTTGTCCCTTTGAATTGCGCTTCAGAAATCCTCTTTTCTTCCCCCTATGCCCATTAGCCATTATTTTTATGCTGGGTTTTTTTTCAGATTTAAAAGTCTTTTTGTTATTTCCCCTCTGAGTTGGCTGTCACTCACCCGGCTTCAAAGCCGGATCCAGTCACCACTCCTGCTCAACACTTAGCCCGGTTGCCCCAGCTTCCTGATAGCCACAATGGCCGCCGCCCCCGCTGCCGAATCAGAGAGAGTTTCCTGTGACCTTTGAGGAACTTGCCTGTTCCTCTTGGTCTTCCGAGGTGCCTCTCCTTCTTCCCCATCCCTACAGGACGGTTCCGGTCTGAAGACCCCCTCAGCAGCGGTTTGTCAGTCCGGGTTTTCGCAGAGCTCATTGGAGCCTGTTAATTCCCCCGATTGTCTAGCCGCAATGCTTCCGGTTAAATTTGATTTTGAATTTGATGATAGATATAAAAATAGATGACAATGGGAAATATCAGTAATCATAATAAAGGAAAATAAGGAAATACTAGGAATCATATTAGGTGAGATCTTAAATTTGAGGTGTACAACATAGAATAGAAGGGAGAAACTGAATTTGGTTAAGATCAGAGGTGAGAATGAAGGATAATATTGGTTAAAAAAATAGATGAGAATAAATATCATGGCAAAAAGGAAGTATAGAAATTGTAAACTTAGTTGAAATGACTAAAAACTGTTTAAATTTGTGAATTGGCCAAATACTCTGTTCAGAAAAAATACATTGCATGTTTGTATGTGTGTTTGTGTAAAAAAAAAAAAACTTTAAAAAAAAGCACAGATTCACATGACGTAGTATGGTCCGTCAACTTGTAGGGTTGACAGCTTCTGTATTATTTATACAGAGTTTAAGTGAGCTTTAAATAAAAACAAGAAGTGCTTATGGTAAAATAAAGATAGAAAATTAAAAATAAAAGACAATTAAAACAGAAGTGGGAAGTTAAGGTGATTAAAAGTGATATTTTCATAAAAGCATAATTTGATGTAACATGTTTTAGTTTTAAGTTGCTAAAGTGGTGGATGATAATTATGATTGTTAATGATTATAGATGATATACTAAGGTACACAGATGGAAGTCATAATTGAGATTGAATTTAACATATGTTGGAATTGATTAATATTAAGAAATAGATGGGGATACACCCTGAAAGAGTATAGTTGGAAACAGTGGATAAATAGATAAATTCTTCGTTTCCTTATCAATTCTATTCAATTCTATTGAAGAAGAAATTTTTAAAATAAATTAACAGAATAGCAGTTGGAGTTAAGGAGGAGAATAAACTGAAAACTCAGCCAAAATAATGTAATGCTGGAAATAATAGGTAGAGTTATGCAGGAGAATGCTGTTAATTAGCCAAAATAAAGCATGCTGGAAATCCGCCAAAACAATGGAAAATGCTGGAAATCAGCCAAATAATAGTTGGAGTTATGGAGGAGAATATGCTGAAAACTCAGCATAAGAATAATTATTAATAAGGGGTGAAAAAGAAAATGTTGGGCAATAATTAAAATGAAATGGGAAATTTTGAGATGTCTGTATAAAAGTTTAAGATTAAGAGGATGAATTGGGTCTAGAAAACAAGAAAAATAGAAATTTTGATTAATAAATTGAAATAAAAATTGAGTTGCATATATTTGGAAATTAGG